GACAATGTTATACACATCAGTTTAGCAGATATTCTAGAAAAATATACTTTTATTCATCTTAATTCTAATTTCCGCAGTGTCTTTTAAAAATTAAACCGCTTCGATGAGCATATTTAGTTACTTAAACTAAATAATGTTTACCCTTGACATTATTCCCTAAGCCCCCGACCATAGTCTTGTCTTCTTGTGCCGATAGAAGCAGTTTTAAACCTAACCAGTTGTGGCTGAATATTTTAGGAGTAACGACTGCCAAGTGACCTCGGTAACGCAATAAAAACAAAAATGGAGGTCTTGAAGATTTGTTTTGCTTGTTTTTGTCAAGATTTTAGGATTGTTTTATGTAGTACTGCTTCGTATTTGATTTTGTTTAGTCTTTTTTATCATTGAGACACGTGTCTAATATTTATAGTAATTAAATTTTAATTTGTTTCATCATGGTTGCTAGTATCTCTGTTCACTGCTGCACCTAGGTCTTTTCCATCGAACGCTACTAAACGTGAATTTCAGCTACTTTTTGGTTTACTGATTTGTTTGAAGTGCTACCTATTAGGTATAACTTTTTAAAGACTGTAATGTAATTAAGCCAAGGATACACTCGGGGACAAATGTCTTGTGACACGTGTCGCCAGCGACGTTGGGTGTTGTAGCGACATTGCCAGACTTTGCCCGATATGTCTGGCAACATAGCGCGACACTTGTCTTCTCGCGCGTTGTCACTATATATGGTGAAGTCGGCCGGCTTCGTATGACATGGCACCGATACATGTCGTGAGACATTTGTGCCGTAGTGTATCCTTAGCTTTAAGAGATGGGCCTTAATCAAATCACAGATTTTTGCTTATAACGATTACAAACCTCTAAAATGTGAACACAACTTAAAAATTAAACAACATATTTTTTACAGATTAAAAATACATTATCAGCCATACCAATTATTAAATCATCGCTTTTTTGCCCTCTCTAAGGAATCAACTTTCTCGATATCAGAACCAGAATTCCTAATCACTAGGCATCACACCCACACAATCAAGCGGTTGTGTTGAAGGCACAGAATCGCGTAGTTACTAAGTCATAAATCCCTCAGGAGTAATTACTGGGACAGAACTTCGTAATAAAGTTACACAATTTTTTCCTAGACCGTCTCAAGAGAACTTTAGTCTGAAAAATATAAGAGAAGAAAACTTGACAACATTTATTGGTACGTACAACACAATATTTGTTGCTTGTTTATCATAAATCAGAAAAGAGGTCGTCGTACTCATTATTGAAATAGTTTTAGTCAAAAGAAATCAGGTTATGAATTATGTGAGCTTGTTCTAATAAAAGTCTACCAAATGATGCCTCTATAAATTACGGTTTCAGGTCTCCTACTTACCTAAGTTGCTTTTGCTATTTTCGACTTGAATTTTAAACACAGGGTTCTGATATTTTGTTATTTCTAATCCCATAAGTCTAATAATGACTAACAAGAATTTACTAAGTATAGTATTACCTCTCTTAGTACCGAACGAGTACGAAGACAAGCGTCATTTTCTTAACCCATTTCTTTTTCTGTGACTTTCTACTCAGGCTCATGTTATGCTTGTCATTCACAAGGTAGGCTGAAGTTATCAGCCTACCTTGTGTGGCTCCCTGTGCCCTTTATCAAGTGATAAAGGAGCCACTGAATTCACATTCAGGGTGCTTACTCTTGAAACTAAACTTAATGTCAATGTAAAAATAGCATTCAGAGTAAGGAATGTAAATCCAAACTTAATACAATTTAGTTCATTAAATATCCACACAATACGAATGCAATGGGAGTGTTGCAACTCAAGAGTATGTTCACAATACCAATGTGATGAATTGAATTCAAGAGAAAGCCCCCAGGTTACTTCGAACAGGCGGATTTAGAACATATTTTGGCTGATATGATAATGATAATTATGCTATGCTAATTCCAACGCTATTTCTTTAACATAAAACTACATTTACGTACGTCACCAGGTTTCAATATGGGAGAAGAAAAATTGCACAGTACCTTCGCCTCGTTTATAACCGAACAATCTCTGCATTGTGAAGGCAAGTTTTTGTTGGAGCCATAAATCAATCCTCAGCGAAAAGATTCTCCTAAACTTTTTGCTTACCTCTATGTACAGATATGAATAGCAGCACATTTGTAATTGGAATTTTCTAGAACTTATGATAGAGAACTGTTTTTAGACAAGTGTCCTACAGAAATTCAAAAGGCAGATAGTATATCGACTTCAATGATTTTAATAAAAAAAACCACTTTTGTTTCTAGTACAACCGTGTGGTGTACTTTTAACCTACTCTCAGTTTTAATTGAAAGTATTTCCAAAAGAAGCATATATTAAAAAAACTAGCTGTTGCCCGCGACTTCGTCCGTGTAGAATAACAACTTCTGGTAGAATTTATGCTTTTGAATTTGTCTTTATCAAGGGATATTCTACGGGTAAGACGATAGCGTGATAATATGTAGCCTATATGTTGACCTGACTTGTTAGTAATATTCATGTAAAATTTTAAGTAAATCCATGCAGTACTTTTTGAAATCATTCCGGCCATACATACAGACAAACAGACAACAATTCTTAAAACCATATTTTTGGCTTTGGTATCGATGGTAGATGACGCTCCAAGTATTCTTTTAAAAAACATTCAATGACTTGACTTTTCTGTTTTGTTTTGACTTTTCTATGATTTCAGTATAGGTATGTATAGATAGATATAGACACGGAATATATATTGTATTCTATATTCCGTGGATATAGATATAGATGATGAAAAATGTCAGAATAAACCTGCAAAATAGATCAGATAGACAGGTTTTAGGAATTTGACACATATATAACTTTAGGTAATACTATCATATGGAATGTGTGACATTGTTAACGTATTCCATTTTCATCTCCAATATTCGAACAGGCTACACCCTGAGGCAAGTCATGTCATTGAATAAACTAACGAACAAAACATTTTATTTCGCTTCTAGCTCAATTTTAGCGAATACCAGTTCGAAATTGTTAGCACGAACTAGATCGTTCTGATCATATTAAATTTTTTTATTTGGTAAATTGTTACTTTACAACTTATCAATAACTTTGACATAAGCTATCTTACTTTTTTTGAAGTCGACAATCAAAAAGCGACATTAAGTAGAGACGAACGACACGGAGCATCTCGATAGAATAAAACAAATATCGAAATAAACACGGCCGTGGTATAAGCAAGTATCATTGTACGTCAAAACGCCAATTGTAAGGATACCAATGATTTAAATAACATTTGAGAAGAATTGTGCAGCATTTTCTATCGTGTTTAAATTTATTTTGACTGAATTAAAAAATGCACGTCTTGTCTAATCTAGTCTAATCTAGTCGAGTCTAGTTTTCGAATCTGGAGCATTAGTCGATTACTGCAATTCTTGCATCGCCTTTAATTCCAAATACCGGATACAATTCCATTCATGTTCCTATAATTAAATTCTTTTCCAATCAAAGAATCCTTAGCGAATGCCCTTCACCGACTTGAAGGAGGTAGACAAGAAAAACACTTCTAACATGTTTACCTATAAAACCTAGCCCTAACCCCTTCAAGCAAAGAAATCTCGTAAAATGGCTTAACGGGTCCACTTTGTCTGTACTCGAACCACCGTCAACCAAGTAACTGGCGATTAATCAGCCTTATTAGTTCCTCCTCAAACTCTAACTAAATAATTGGTTACGATAAATGTTATTCCGGGAACTGTAATTGGTTTTCGTCTTATTTGTTTGCTAGCTGATTTTTCTTTTATTTCTTTGTGTCCGTATAAAAGTTTTGTTTGTGTGCGTTTCCTTTCTGATTTATAGACTGAAGACACAACCGTTGGAATTGTTCGAGGTCTTAATTTGATTTTCTCAAGTCTCTACGTTCGTTCGTGATGAAGTTACTTTTTTTTCTGGGATGATAATAATAATTGATATTAGATTTTTTTGTTTTTATTTGATCTACTTTTATTGGGTTACGTTTCGGTTCAAGGAGTACTGAAATGGATAGGTACTTACGTTTACTTTGATCTTTGTTATTCTGTATTTAATTTAGTAGGTTCATATTTTATCATACTATGATTTTTTTTTATTTTTGGCCTGTTTTAATCTGCATCGCATTGTTTATTATTATTGGGGACAAACCTGTTAACAAATACCAAACATTTGAGGTTTGGTTATGTAATCGCTGAGGTTTTTGAATTTGAAAATACTCGGCTCAATTTAATGATCTCGTCTGTCCAATGTTATAGGGTTGGCGTTTATACTTTGTACCAATTTATCAACAAGGCCGGTTAAAATATAATAGAAAAATACCTGTATTAATTAGTTCATGATACAAAATACTATAGTTTATTAATTACTTTGAGATATATTTTACTTCAGCCTTATTTACATACCTGGACCAAAATTCCTTACTTCCGTAATCAAAATTAAATGAAATATTGTTCAGAATTCTAATCAAGTTATTGAAATATTTTGTTCAATTATTTTAAACAAAGACGGTATTTAATACTAAAATATTGCAGATAATTATATTATACATACCGATATCTAACAATACGTAATTTATTTAGATACAAATATTGTATACTTTTAGAACTATTGTTTTTTTAGTGAGGAGAATCATCCAATGATTTCTCCCGCCTTGGGTCTTACTCTTATTGACTATAAACCACTCCGTTCCTATTTCTGCTCTTCGAGCAACCTATGGGATAGTCGCGGAGAACCTAAAGGGTTACCGGGGCTCCGGCTTGACGTGCAGGAGAAGGAACGGGATGGTTTTTAGTCAGTAAGAGTCTGACACTCCCTTCCGCCTCACCCAGGAGGTTTTTCAGTATTCAAAACATTCAAAGTTTGGAGTTTGTGCTTGCCTTCAAAAGTGGCGAGTATGAAGTTTATGTCCTTTATCTAAATCATCTTTCAAAATATTTTCGTTGGTGGGTTTCAGGTAAGAAAATAAAACAAGCCACGTGCTAATTATTTTTACGTTTATTTTTCTTAGCTTAAGATTTATTTTATACAATTCTCACTTAGCTGGTCAGTCTTCATTACAATATCCCTTAATTACATCCGAGGGTAGAACTTGATTCTTCAATATTTTTCCCTCCAAATTCCCAAGTTCTCGGAATTCTTCTTTAGGAGTTTGTGGAACAAAAATTTTCCTGTAAATTAAATAAAAGGTTCAGTTATGAGAAAAATCTTCGTTTAAGTTTTCAAGTTTTTTTTACCTTGTACATAGAAGGTTCGTCAAGGAGTAGGATAATTTCGAAAATAATTTATTTAACGCCGCTCTTTAAGTTGTGGAATGCAAAATTAATAAAAGTTTGGTAAGATTTAATTGAATTTGAAAAAAAATTGTGAGATGTTTTTTTTTTCTGAAAACCTGTAATTAATTTACGCTCTGTTTAGTAGTTGTTCAAAATTTTATTGATATTTTAACACTGAAGTGATGTTTAAAAATAAACAATTTCACCTCAAGAGCAAAGTCAATTTAAGAAACAAAAAAGTAAAAATCAAGAGTTAAACCGTTTTTTTTACTTTTTGACAATGCCATTTTCATGTTTTTCCATGTTATGCATCTTCAAGGTTGCTCTAAAAAAAGATAAGTATCTGTTTAACCAGAGCTGACGTTTTTGTTACAATCAGAAACCACTAGACCGAGAAAATGCCAATAACATCAACGTTATATTTTAAGTAAAATATTTGTCTTTTAACTGATTAAATTGTAACTTCCTCCCAATGAATAATAATTTTCAGACCATCGGTGCTCATATTTATTTAAAAGCATTCATAATAATACTAATAACAGTACCTACAACAGCTTCATTGTTTATGTAATTTACCTATTAGATAGTCGGTAATTATAGACTGTTAAATCGACCGTCAAAAGTATCAGTAAAATCTCTGAATAAGGAAACTAATTTGAAAATTCTAGATCTTGATCCAAGTTCATATTTAATATCTTAATTATTGCGTTGACAATAGAATTAAGAAGACCGTCACTTTAGATATTAACGAAGATTTCCGAGACATTGTTGTTTCGTCACCGGAATTTTCCGGTTGAGATAAGAATTATAGCTATAATTTATTATTGTGATATCATGTTCTATTCACAGCGTCAATCGACTTCTCCTGAGTGCAGCCGAGCACAAGAAGTTGATATCATGACTTAGATGCGTGCATATATGGACTCGTATTGCTATTATAGTTGTCCATAGGCGGTGCCAATTGTTACCATTAGTCCATCTTTTTTTGGCGTAAGAAAGTTATTTAATGGCTTTTTTCGCCTTGAGTGAGGAAACTGAGAGATAGTGCTAGACTCTTACTGCTGGACCAGGGCCACGGAAGACTTTACGGGTTGTCGAGGCTCTGGCTCGAAGTGCAGGAGTAGGAACGGGGTGATTTTTAGTACAGTTACAGTCTGAATGGGAGCGTTTCTCACTTCACTCGGGCGGGAGAAGTCATTGGATGATTTTAATATCCTCAAAAAAAATTACTGCTAGAAACCACCGCGTTCCTACTTCTGCTTTGAGCAGGAGCCCCAGTAACCCGAAAATTTGCCCGCAACTCCTGGACCATTAATCAATTTACAATCGTATAACATAAAAAATACTTACAGCAGTCTTCAGGCAGTACACAGACTTTTAATGCATCATGGTAAACGTAGTCAGGCTTGCAGTCACAGCTGTTGTATCGACAGCCGCTATAGCAGGTCTTGTTGACTTCCTTATAGTCTGAGCAGGATCGCCCGCAATAGTTACCACACCCTGATGTCGCGTTGAAATCTCCTGCACAACTTACTGTGGATAGAAGATGGAGTGGTGTTAGAAAATGATTTTAGAAAAGACGTTTGTTTTCAATTGGGTGCATATGCCATCGTGTATTATGGATTGGTAGTGGCTTAAGACAGGCAAAACAATATCAATGATTCTCATATGCACATCTGTTATACTTGGTCACTGACTTTAGAAGCTATCAAGTAACAAGATGTCCTGCCATGTCAAGAAATCATCTGAAGATCTAGTTAAGTTTACTATTTGTTTTTCATATTAACGTATATTTTATCGAAATATACAAAAAAATCAACAATTCACAATTTTTGTTTTTTATTCTTAACTAGCTTTTACCCGCGGCTTCACTCGCATCACAAAAGGATAAAAAGTAGCCTATGTGACATATACCATTACATACAGCGCCATCTATACCAATACTTTTGCTTTCCCTCGGGAACATCAAATTTATCTGGGATAAAAAGTACCCTATTATTTAATCCGGTCTTCTAACTTTACGTCTGCAAAAATTCAAAGTAATCGGTTTAGTAGTTACGGCGTGAAAGCGGAACAAACAAACAAACAAACTCACTTTCCGATTCATAATATTATATAGTACTAGCTTTTACCCGCGGCTTCGCTCGCGTCACATAAGTATAAAAAGTAGCCTATGTGACATATACCAATACACACAGCGCCATCTATATCAATACTTTTGTTTTTCCTCGGGAATATCAATTTTTATCGAAATATACAAAAAAATCAACAATTCACAATTTTTGTTTTTTATTCTTAACTAGCTTTTACCCGCGGCTTCACTCGCATCACAAAAGGATAAAAAGTAGCCTATGGGACATATACCATTACATACAGCGCCATCTATACCAATACTTTTGCTTTCCCTCGGGAACATCAAATTTATCTGGGATAAAAAGTACCCTATTATTTAATCCGGACTTCTAACTTTACGTCTGCAAAAATTCAAAGCAATTGGTTTAGTAGTTACGGCGTGAAAGCGGAACAAACAAACAAACTTACTTTCCGATTTATAATATTAGTAAAGATAGGTCGACATTAGACCACCACCTCGCCTGGTTATTATTTACTACCTAATTCCTATTATGACCAGTGCTTACAATTTTAAAGTGCGTACCTGCGAATACCTACGTGAGGCATAACCCTGAATTTAAAAGATTTTAAAGGTTTAATTGTGTACCTAGATCTAGGTTAGTAATTTTTTTGTGGTTGGGAATTTATACTGTTTTATTTTACCTTAAATATAGGGTAATTCATAAAGGGATAATGTCTTATTTATTTAATTAATGGATTGCGGTTTCTTAACGTACATAGCATCGCATGTTTTATGAGTAATATGTAACTACAGAGCAACTTAGACGTACGATTTTTTTTCTATACATTGACGTCATTACTTGAAGATGTTGATGATTCAATAGACTAGTAGTTCTAAGACTGTAATCACGAAGTTTCAGGCTAAAAAATAAATAAACAAACAGAAATTAGGTACAATTTTACATGATTGTATCCTTACTAATATTATAAATTGGAAAGTGAGTTTGTTTGTTTGTGCCACTTTCACGCCGTAACTACTAAACCGATTGCTTAGAATTTTTGCAGACGTAAAGTTAGAAGTCTGGGTTAAATAATAGAGTACTTTTTATTCCGGAAAAATTTGATATTCTCGAGGGAAAACAAAAGTATTAGTATAGATGGCGCTGTACGTATTACTATATATCACATAGGCTACTTTTTATCCTTTTGTGACGCGAGTGAAGCCGCGGGTAAAAGCTAGTAATATTATAATTGCTAATATGTTTGTTTGTTTACTACTCCTTCACCTCAAAACGGCTGAAGAGATCAAAATGAAATTTGGAACAAGGTAGGTTATGGACTGAAATAACATAAAGGCTTCTCTTATATCATGGGTATGCAGGTGAAGCCGTTGACAGACTGAAGCTAGTACAAGTATAAAAGTCACTTACAAATTGTCTAGTGTTTGACCTGAGGTCTTAGTACAAGTTTGATTTACGTTTAAAGTATTCGAAACGAGTACGCTTTCGGCAATCTGATTGGTTGGTTCATTTTAGCCGGCCAATCACAGCGCCGAACGCGTACTCGGTACGATTATTTTAAACGTAAAACAAAATCGTACTAAGGCCCCTGTATATCGAAATAAATACTCGATTGATCAGTTAATCGAGTTCTACTGACATCTATTGATATGAAAATCAGGGTCAGAACCGCAAGTTTAGTAGTCACCTCTGGATTACAAAACCCTAACTATATTAATACATATTGTCATACTGTACTACAAGTACTTATCTACTTAGGGAACTTAGCGTACATAATACCCGCACCCACAGACCACAAACTTGACTCATTTCTAAGTTCTTACCGACTTTGGGCGACTTCAAATAACAAAGTTCCATCTACGGCTTGTTTAATTTGTGCCAATTCAAAATTTAGATTCCTATTGTAAGTAATGTGAACTTAGGTTAAAAGGGTTTTATTATGCAGGTAAGGTATATATAGCGTTTGACTGCCTCGTTGGCTGAGTGGTCGCAAGTGCGACTGTCGGTTCGACAAGGGGGTTCGTTTTAATCCCAGTATTAGCACGGAATCTAGAAATGTGACCGGTGTATGGCATAGCCATATACCGGTCATATAGATAGCCTATAGAGGCTCACCCCCTATTACATGGGACTCATAACACAAATAGTGAAAAGTGGGTGTTACGTGTGATCCACAAATTGTTGTTTCGTGAGTGTGATGTGTATGCGAACTTGTATGTTTGTAAACGCACCCACGACACAGGAGAAAATCCTAGTTTGGGGCAACGTTTTTTTAAAAGAATAATAGCGTCGTTTTTACGTTTTTTCTTAAAAAAGTTATTATGGCATCACTAAAACGAATAGTTATAACCTTGTAGACCATTGCTAACCAACAAATTCTTTAATACAGTTCATATATCTCTACAACATTTTTACCCAAGAAAACTCCACATTTATGCATCACATAATCCAAAATATTATACTCACAACAGTCCTTCTTCGGTATGCAAGTCCCATTAGTATCGCGTACCATCCCGTCTATGCACACACATTCCGGCCTGCACAATGACGTCGCCCCACCACAAGGTACAGGGTGGCCCAAGTCTTCGCATGTTTTTGGCCCACAGTGCGCGCATTCCACGGTAATCTCGTTTTCCTTGCATACTTCTCGTTTTACAACTGAAATTGAAGATGGTTTTTGGTTATTGGTTGATGGATAAAATATAATGTGGTTCTTACGTTATTAGGAAGAGATAACAAATACAAATAAATAAATACAAATATTGTTTATTTCGTCAATGTAGGTATGTTACAATAGATGGTAGATAATATTATGGTAGTGCGCCACATTGTGTCTGTACAGACATACAAAATTTTTATAGTATGTTCTTAATCTAGTGTGTTTACAGACAATAATCTTTTCTGTCTACATTATGGAACATAATACACCTAATTACAAACTAAATTAATATTAACATCAAGTTTTAATAAAACTATTATTTGTGTTGAAAATTTACTCTATCAGCCGTATACTCAATTAAACTATAATAACATTTAAGTAACTAAATATTTACATTAACTTAAGGAAACAATAAAAATCTTCATTGTTAACATTATAAATTTCCTCTGTCATCAGTCATAAATTCGGTTAAATTATAATAACATTTAGTTATTAAAAACTGCCTTAGTTTTTTTTTGAGGTAAGAGGTAAGTCTAGTGCTTTGATTTCCTTAGGTAATCTATTATATATTTGTGCAGCAACCCTGAAAATACTCTTACTAAAAAGCGCTGTATTACCGTGTACTACTTGAAGGTCACAAGTATCCTTTTGCCTCAGCCTGGAATCGCGTTAAAAGCAGTGAACATTGTTCATTTGCATGCTGCGCTTAAATTAAAATATTATAAAGAGGAAGTTTTTTTTTAAATAAAAATGTTGTCCCACTCTAGTATTTTGTCCTGTGTCGTGGGTGCGTTTACAAACATATAATTTCACATACATGATGTGATCATGATGTCAACATGTCATGTTCCACAATTGTGGATCACACAAAGTTTTAAATTTGCTCAATGCAGCCGGTGCAGTCAATGACTGTCTTTTAATTTATAAGTTACTCATATATTTGTTTATTTATACAGAATATAAATCATTTCATTCATTATTTTTCCTTTGTACATTAATTGTTTTCTTTTATTTCTTTTCCTTTACGAAATAATTAATAGCATGACACATAAATACAGTTTTTACACGCTTCATTGTAATGATGAAATTCCCCATTTGATTTTCATAATATTGCAATGAATTGTGAAAAAGGAGTCGGTACTAACTTCACAGAAACAATTGCGTTTCGCGCAAAATTATTTCCGAAACTAAATTACACTTCTTGTACTGTATGAGTAAAATACCTGACGATATTAAATAGCACAGGTCTTGCACATCAAACTATGTATCTAGTGAAATTAGACCTTTCTGTGCATGGAATATGTAACAGATTGAGGGGTCATATAAAATTGGCAGGGTATGCGTACTCATTTCTTCATAGCGCACAGTATGGTGCAACCAGTGTTTTATTGCTTGGCTTTGAGCTGTGTTCTCTTTAAGAAATAACATTTGGTATTTCCTTATTTTAAAAGTAAATAAACGTTTAAAAATATATTAATAATATATGTGATAGTCTGATAGTGCATGCGCATCCTAAAATTGCGTCATAGACCGAGGGGAAATATAATATATATATATATAATAATGTTTCAATTATATTGAAATTCCAAATGGCAACTAACTAGGCAGAGGTGCACATTACGGCACGTAATGCCACTGTACAATGTAACACCCACTTTTCACTATTTATGTTATGAGTCCCATGTAATAGATGGTCAGCCTATTGCCATATGCCGGACACAATTCCAGACTTCTTGCTACTATCGAGAATTTTTTTAAACTTTTTAAAAACCCCGTAATTCTTTGTCTGACCCGGGAATCGAACCCGAGACCTCTTGCCCGGCAGTAGCACTTGCGACCACCCGGCCAACGATGCAGTCTAATAATGTTTTAATTATATTGAAATTCTAAAGGGCAACTAACATCCAGCCGACATTATTGCCATTGGCCGAGGGGCCAAGGTCTTGTGGCTGATAAGATGATGATGAAAAGCTCAAGTGTGGGAGAGCCATGCTTCGGCACGAATGGGCCAGCTCGACCGGAGTGATACCACGGCCTCACAGAAAACCGACGTGAAGCAACGCTTGTGTTGTGTTTCGTCGTGTGAGTGAGGTTATCGGAGGCCCAATTACCTTCCCCTTCCCCAATCTCCCCAATCCCTGAATCCCCAACGATCCTCAAACTCCTAATCCTCAAAAAGCCGGTGGCGCACTTGTAACGCCTCTGGTGTTCCAGGTGTCCATTTGCGACGCCGATTGCTTACCATCAGGTGATCCGTCTGCTTGTTTACCGGCTTATGCCATAAAAAAAAGAAAAGCTATTATAATAATAACTTGTCAAATGAAGATCTATATTGAAGCCTCTGCCTACTCAGGCAGCTGCCTACCTCCAAGTGAATTAAAATTATATTTGCATGTATATACGGTAGGAAGTTCTAGGCGCAACTGCTAAGGCCGTGTACAAGGCACGACTTCAATCAAACAAACTATGCACGGACGGTTTCGCGACTAACATTGTGTGAACGAGTGATTCGAGTGCACTTTGAAGTTTATCTTTCGTACGATTGCACTATCTTATTGAATCAGCCGAAATAGAGAGCAAAAGAAAACCTTACTAATATTATAAATTGGAAAGTGAGTTTGTTTGTTTGTTTGTTCCGCTTTCACGCCGTAACTACTAAACCAATTGCTTTGAATTATGCAGACGTAAAGTTAGAAGTCCGGATTAAATAATAGGGTACTTTTTATCGCGGAAAAATTTGATATTCCCGAGGGAAAACAAAAGTATTGGTATAGATGGCGCTGTGTGTATTGGTATATGTCACATAGGCTACTTTTTATCCTTTTGTGACGCGAGCGAAGCCGCGGGTAAAAGCTAGTTGTTTTATATGAGAAAGAACTCTTAAATCTGACGATGTCTGGAATTTGGAAATTCATGTCATATTATCTACTTATTAAAGACTTCCAAACTGAGTGCTATTGCTAAATTTTGAAATACAAATCAACTACTCTTTGTCTAGGAAATTGATATAAAGATGATTATTCAGGTTCATGTGTAGTTAACTGGTAACTTAAACTTACCTTGCCCTTTTTTTAAGGGGCTAAAATCATCCAATGACTTCTCCCGCCCGGGTGAGGCGAGAGGAGTTTCAGACTCTTACTGACTAAAAACCACCCCGTTCCTACTCCTGCACTCCGAGCCGGCACCCAGTAACCTGTTAAGTTCTCCGCGGCTTAAACTTACCTTGCCCTATCATAACCATCACTTATTATTTTTTATAATTAATATCGTGAGACATACTAATTATAATAATTATCGTGAGACATTTTAAATAAAAATCGCGGGTTACTCACGTGAATATACTGAGAAAAGCTCTACTAGTTTCGAATCACAGAGGGGTTCATTCTTATGAGGAGCGTGCGCGGTCGCTGCGATGTCGCTCAGCCTACTATAACTTATTATTGTTACAAAAGTATAATTAGGACAGTCGGCATACTACCTATTTATTGATATTATCCCAATTTTACACTAGAATTTTCTAGAAAATATTCCATTTATATGATGGTCAGACTCTCATATGTATGTATAACAAATATTTGACACGGAAACACCGCTAGTTACCTACGTACGTGTTTCTTAGTCTTCCTTATAAAATGCAATGTGGAAATGCCAGAAGATATTCTAGGTTTCTTGTATGAACAGTTATTTTACGTACAATACGAGCATTTACCTCACGACTATAGTTGAAAAGTCGGAGCTGGTTTAGACTTTCATTAAAGAAACTATTGTTACTTTTTTGTTTTAGAAATTGCTTCACTTCACGATATTTCAAACCAGTCGAGAAGCAAAAAAAAAAAAACGAAATAACTAAATTCCTTTATAAAATAATTATAAGTATGTATATATAAGTAATAGAAAAACATACCTTCACTATGTATAAAATAAACCCAATAAGTGGTCACCAGAACAATCACAAACAGCTTAGACATTTTGAACGTCTTATTCAGCCGTCGACCACAACACAAATGATATGGGCTTTAAACAAATTTAATTCAATTATTAACATTCAACCTTTTCCCTGTGAATAGGGTTGTCATACATAGGATTTCTGTGGCACCGTAGCTTCTAAATGAATGAGCCGATTTCGAGTGCGATTTTTTAAATCAAAGGGCTTGTTCGCCTTTACTATGTCATATATGTTAAGTACTTAACAGTATGATAGACATTTCGGTAGATCACCAAAACTCAATAAAACACATATTTTTAGAGTTTGTAATAAAGACACAACTTGTATAAGGCAATAAAAATAGTACATTATTTTGACATTTAATGCTCGCCCCTATTACACGGGACTCATAACATAAATAGTGATAAGTGGGTATTTGTACAGTGGCATAATGTACACCTTTGCCTACCATTTCTATGTTGCGGGCTTGCAGACGGCGAGCATGAATGGCTCACCGTCCGACCAGAACCAGACCCGAGCGTACGGCGCTTCGCGTTCCGCGCGCGCCTCAAAGAGTCATCAGACCACCACGGATGGGGCCTAATAGGGCTGATGGCGATACGGAGTCGCGGAGAACCTAACAGGTTACTGGGGGCTCCGGCTCAAAGTGCAGGAGAAGGAACGGGGTGGTTTTTAGTCAGTAAGAGTCTGACACTCCCTCCCGCCTCATCCAAGAGGAGTCATTCGATGATTTTCCCCCCTTAAAAAAACCTTTCTATGTTATGTTATGTTTTGACATTATTTTCTTAATTTTAATGAATGCCTATAACTATACTTACTTTAATTCCGTATAAAACGTGGCAACCCTACCTCTCGCAAGTCTCAATGACTAATTCATTCTGTTATACAATTCTTGATACATTTTCCTTTAGTTGTCGATGTATTTTTCGTTGAATTGCAATTAAGTTGTTCATTAATTTGATTGACAATTAAGATTAAAGATTTGTTTCAGTCTCAGTCATAGTTTAGTTAAGGTCTAGAAAACCTTCTTTTGTTTTCTGTTTCGTTTCTTATTTAGATATAAATCATCTTAAAACAATGATGTTTCGTAGTGCGAATAATTGCAATTGCATTTGTAGAGGAAAAGGTCTTGGGATCCTGTCAGGAAAACTCTTTGGGATTTTTAAATTTTTTATTGGTGTCTTTGTTATTTATGTAGAAAGTCCCATGTATATTACTATTTCACCATATTATGACTTTGTTGAAAGTATGATTCAAAAGGTTACCGAAAGGTGAAAAATTGTTTGAGTGTAATAAATATTTTCCGACGTCTATTTTATCATACATACATATCCTAACGCCTGTCTCGCATCTGCCTTCCCGGCAGAGACTATGCAACGCCAATTGCTACGATTCTTACATACCTCTTTCGCTTCCCCAATAGTCATCAGTCTTTTGAAATGATTAAATGAATGAATATTAATATTTTCATTCGGTTAAGGGACCTATATTATATTTTCAAATAATCGGATCCGATAATCGAATGAATGCAGAAATCGGACGAGCATTGATTCGAAAGGACGATTATCTTAAAAAGCACGTGATTGGAGATCATTAATTTGTTTTTGTTTGACCTTCCTTAAGACGTGCCGTGTCGTCTCATTTCTTAGGGCCATTGACGCCATTTGTGATAAGAATATTGTATTTTAGTAAGTAAGTATGAAGGTTGAGACGTTATTGCAAAGGCATAAAGTTGAAAAGATATAACAGTTGGTAGGATCTACATTAAAAAAAAAATTAATGTGACTAATTATTTGTTTACGTGTCTGTCTCATCGACGGAGTTTTTTCTATTACATTTATTCATCCGTCCGGATTGCCTGGTAAAATAAGGTATTGTTAAGAATTTTCATATCATTTTGGAGTCTGGAATTATATATCTCGTTTATGGCGGTTATACAGGATGAGAGTAGGTAATATGTATAGAGTTATATTTTTAATTCCATTTATAGAACAGTAAAACAGGAAAGTTTTTGATTATAGACTCATTTTGTTTCTTACAGTTTTACATATTTATGGAATAAGCCGGTAAACCAGCAGACGGATCACCTGATGGTAAGCAATCGGCACATGAAACACCAGAGGCGTTACAAGTGCGTTATCGGCCTTTTGGGGATTAGGAGTTTGAGGGGGTAATTGAGCCTCCGGTGACCTCACTCACACGACGAAACACAATGCAAGTGTTGCTTCACGTCGATTTTCTGTAAGGCCGTGGTATCACTCCGACAAATGGCAAAAAGGCAAGACCCATGCTTCGGCACGAAGCATACTCCCACACATCTCCCACACTTAAAATATATGTTATACAAACACTAGCGACCCGCCCCGGCTTCGCACGGGTGTAATATGCATGTATTATACATAAACTTTTCTGAAGTATCACTCTATGTATTAAAAAAAAATCGCGTCAAAATCCGTTGCGTAGTTTTAAAGATCTAAGCATACATAGGGACAGACAGACGGCGGATAGCGACTTTGTTTTATACTATGTAGTGATGTACCTAAACAGAAGACTGCTTTAATAAGATACTATTCCGCAGCATATACATACGACTATTCGGACCTCATTACCACCATCTAACCGTAGAACATCACTCATAAGGTACAGGAATATAAATAACGTTGGTAAAAGCCGAAGCTGTTTCGAACTACTTAACTTTTTACGTCGCTGTAATCTATTTTAGCTGTATGAAGGAGCTAAGTGTAACTCTAAGGAAAATAAATATAGTCGAATAAGAGTTTCACAAGTAACTCCCAAGTTGCACGGGAGTAGTTTGATGTACAATCGGCGGAATCAATTGGTGTAGGTACAGGCAAATTATTGTTGACTGATTTAACCGTTCTGTTTTGGTTTTAGTACTTACGTTTTTGTGACTGGTACGTAATTTAAGTGAGTTTCATCTTGCTATATTCTCATGCAATAACCTGATATATTATAAATAATTGTCATACCATTATAACTATTCTTAAGTCGTTCCAGATATAGTTTCCGACCTCTTTTCCGTAATATCTTTCTTGTACTTCATGCTTACTGCTTACTGCATGGAGGGGGGATTTTTAAATAGAAAAAAATCTTAGATGTCATTACAACTGTTAATAGGTACATGTATATTTACGTCCGATTGTACCAGAGTTCGTTTAAGGCAAACAGGTACCATATTCTCGCGTGTAAAGAGCTTTACTGGACCAGTTTTGTATAGGTATGTATGTTTAAAACATTTGTACAGTTTCTACTTTCCTAGAAGGTATGTGAGCAAACGATGCATCATTAATATTGGTAGTATGATCAACATACATTAACATTAACATAAAATCACGCCTTTTATCCCCGAAGGGGTAGACAGAGGTGCACATTATGCCACTGTACAATGTAACACCCACTTTTCACTATTAATGTTATGAGTCCCATGTAATAGGGGGTGAGTCTATTGCCATATACCGGGCACAATTCCAGACACCGTGCTACTACTGAGATTTAAAAAAAACAAAAAAAAATAAAACAAAAAAAAATTAATAGTATTTTCAAAACATTATGATTTAGCTGTTAGTTCCATAATTATACACGTATTTTGTATAATGTATTAAATGTCTACAAATTATTTCGTCACGTAAATAAACTGGACGCTTGCGTCGTAAAGTAAGTATATAGGTATAACCGTGGTTTTGAATTCAGAATTCGTAATAATCGGTAGGACAAACTATATAGGTAACATGACTGTGACTATTACGAATAAATGGTTGGTGAAAGTTGTTTTGCCACATACAAATATAATATTATTATTTTAAATTTACTACCTTAGGGCCTTGAGCACAAATTTTAAATTTAAACAAATTTTGCAATCGACAATAAATATAGGTACTTTCTTTTTTAAGTGGGGAAAATCATTGAATGACTGCTCCCGCCTGGGTGAGGCTGAGTGTCAGACTCTTACTGACTAAAAACCACCCCGTTCCTTCTCCTGCACTTCGACCCGGAGCCCCGGTAACCCGTTAGGTTCTCCGCGACACAATAAATACTATACTTATCTTAGGATCTATCATTAATATAATAACCTAGGTAGGTACTTACTCATGTAATATCTCGTTTTGGACTTGTTCATACAAGTTCTCGTCCAACAAATACGTAATAGTCTGTCTCATATGTTATTAGACCTAAGATAATTGACCAAATCTACATTCATTATCATCTTGTTATAGCTACTAAACGTCATCTAGATGCTGAAAATAATTTTTCCCAATAATTGCCAGGTTATTCGGTTGAAATTGCCTTGCAAAATAGTGGTGTCCTATAATTTTTGTTGGATCTTCGGTCCATCAGGAACATACATTTACACACTACTAATAAAACTACACTTTTTTTTAATGCGGGATAATCATCGAATGACTGCTCCCGCCTGGGTGAGGCGGGAGGGAGTGTCAGACTCTTACTGACTAAAAACCACCCCGTTCCTTCTCCTGCACGTCGAGCCGGAGCCCCGGTAACCCGTTAGGTTCTCCGCGATAAATTAAACTACACTTGGAACCAAGAAACGAAGCGACTAATGTTCTTTTTTTTTCATTTTATCGATCCATCTATAACTTTCAAAAATATGATTCCTTTTACTAGAAAATATTATCATATGTTACCAATCTATCTAATTACTTATTACTTATTATAAATAAAAATGACTTTCCGTTCGTTAGTCTTGCTAAAACTCAAGAATAGCTGAACCGATTTGGCTAATTATTGTGATCGTGAAATGTTTGTGGAAGTCCAGGGAAAGGTTTAAAATATTGCGATTTATTTAAGCGGTACGAAGTTCGCCTTGTCATAGTAAATAGATAAATTACTTGTATCAGAAAATATTCATCAAGAAATGAAAAAGAAAAAACGTTAGTGGCTCTCTTTCTTTGCTCCTAAGTGTAGTAGGTAACAAGACAATATACCTACAAAACCATTCAGTTTTTACCTTCCTACCCACTTATCCAATGAGTAACTTCAACCACAACTTTTAATTTACCTTTACGTTCTTG